AAAAAAAAAAAAAAAAGAAAGAAAGAAAGGCATTATGGAAAAGTCTCCCTTCCAGCCCTTTCACTCTTCCTCACAGCAGGTAACTTGGGTAACAGATAAGTTCCTTATTTATCGAGTTTTTAAAATGTATAATAAATAACTTCTTTCCCTATGCCATCTTTAGTGAAGAATGTAATCTGAAGATATTTCCATGCCTGTTCATAGGCTCTTTCTTTTCTCTGCAGCTGTAGCACTTCAATGAATGCCAGTGCCATGATTTAACTGCTCACCTACTGGTGGAAATTATGTTCTTCCTCCAAATCATTTGCTATCACAAATAACACAGTAGTGGATAACCTCGTATACAGGTTATCCTACATATGTGCCAAGAATAGTAGGATAGAATCTTAGAATTTCTGAGTTAAAAGATATTTATAATAGTAATACTATTAAATTATTCCCGTGGGCCAGCCATTTATGAAAACATCTGTTTCTTTGTACCCTAACTATTATGGCATATATCTCTTTTAATCCGTCTTCCACTCCCCACTGTTTATCATACAGGAATCTCCAAAATCTTTTTATGTGCTACACTAATGCCAACCTGGACTCTAGTGGGAGGGGTTGAGAGATAATATGTTTTCTGGTACATTTAGCCACTTTCCTGGTATAATCAGGACCAAGGAAATTATACTGACATTTCACTGGAAATGAACAAGGTTGGCTTGTTTGAGATGACAATACTGCACTTTCTTCCATTCAACTCTCTATAACCTGAGTAGCAAGTTATCCCTATTGTACTTAGTCATTAATTTTTCTCCAAGCATATCATGGCTGGTCTGCTTTTATCCCCTGTAATTATATATTTTTGTATTGTAGCCATCTTGTCTTTCATGTTTTTGAATTTATTTGGAATGGTTTCTGATCATCTCTTACCCCCAAACACACATTATCAGGAAGTATAAATATCTGATTTGTCTTTTCTGGTGTTTGTGCCCAAACATTTACATAATCAAATATTTTACCCTAACCTATTACTTTATCTTTAAAAAACAAAACAAAAACAAACAAACAAAAAAACAAGACAAAACAAAATAAAACAAAACAAAAAAAACCTCTAAACTAGGGCCAGAGATTTAGCTCAGTGGTTCTGCTGCCTGCCTTGCAAGCCCAAGGTCCTGAGTTCGATCCCTGGTACCAAAAAAGCAAAAACCTAACCTAAGTATTTTTTTTTTAACCCTAAACTAAATGTTTTAGCCTTTATTTTGTTATCATTGTGCTGATTTTCTGAAATCATGCATTTAGTTTTTTTGTTTTAAGGTCTGGGGATCAAACTCAGGACCTTTCACCTATGAGGCAAGTGTGACACCACTGAGCTAAATCCCCAGCCCCTTAGATATATATTTTTTAAAACAAATTTCACTTTCTAATAATTTCAGATATAAAAGGGAGGTATGGGAATGATGTAGAGCAGCTTTCAATGATAACAGCCCACTGAGGAATGTGTGCAATAGGTTCATCATATCTGCTGTAGAATATATATCTAGAAATGGACATGGTAGGTCAAAGGGTTATGTACTTTTAATTATCAATATTTCTAATGTTATAATTTACAATGTACTAAATAAATTTTAATTTTAGTGCTTTTATCATTTCCCTATATGCTTATAATTTATTGGAAAAGTTTTTTTGTTTGACTTTAAAGGAAAAGGTAAGAGCCCCCAGCAACAATATTTCTCCATAAGTGATTAAAATCACAGCAGGGCATGGTGGAGCATGCCTGTAATCTCAGCACTTAAGGATGCTGAAGCAGGAAGGTCACAAGCTCAAGTCCTGTCTGAACTAGTCAGCAAGACCCTGTCTCAAAATAAAATAAGTAAATAAAATAACAATTTCTGGGGATGTAGCTCAGTGATAGAGTACCCCTCAGCTCACTCTCCAGTTCTGAGGGGCAGTGGGAGATCTTTTTTGCATTACTTCAGCCTGCAGGGCTATTCTCACAGTCCTACAATAGTATGCTTTACTACTTTCTAAACATGATTTGGAAAAAAATACATTTCATTCAAATGTCAGCAGAATTTTTCTCTATTTTGAATTTTTTGCCTTCTTAAACCTTATGGCAATAAAGGACAGATTAAAATATCCTATTTATGACAAAAAAGCCCTATGATTACTTAGCTTGATATGGAAATTAATTTTATTTAAATATTACATATATATTACCCAAGCCCTATATAAGACAATTTTGAATAAGAAGCAATTTTCCTACTTTCCCATGAAAATAGGTGCCCAAAAGCTTTTGGCCACTTTAACATGTACATTTAAGAATACAGTTTTGGGGCCGGGGATTTAGCTCAGCGGTTCGGTGGCCTGCCTTGCAAGCACAAGGACCCGAGTTCAATCCCCGGTACAAAAAAAGAATACTTTTGTAAACTCAATTCTTCTGGACTCAACCTTACCTGTCGATTAAAATAAGTAAGTAGGCAGGTATATAAATGAAATTGTTTATTCTAGTTGCATGCTGTTATTGTATATAATAAATACGCTTATTTTCTATCTACAGGTCGACCACATGCATTAAAATACTCCCAAGAAATCCTTAACTGCTTTCCCCTCTTTGCCATG